CAGATACTTTTGATGAACGAGGAGATTACATCTACGGAACTGGACTTTTTACTCCGCTTCCCGATTAAACCGCACGTCACAAGTCCCGTGGACTTTCTATCTAACCAATCGTGGGGCGGAATATGCAGTCTAGCGTCTAAAGATGAATTCCGTAACCTCGATCGTGATATAGAAACTTCGTCGAAACGCTGGAAGAAGCTGGTGGAGTCCGAGGCGCCTGAAAAGGAGAAATTCCCGCAGGAATGGAAGAACAAGACGGCGCTGCAGCGACTCTGCATGATACGTGCACTCAGACCGGATCGCATGACCTATGCGCTGGCGTAAGTAATGAACGACGCTGAAATTCGTATTTAATTAAATGCACTTAATTACTTTTTACACTGCAGCGATTTCATAGCTGAAAAACTTGGCAACAAATATGTGGAGAGTCGCGCAATGGAATTCTCCAAGTCCTTTGAGGAGACCAGTCCTTCTACACCCATATTCTTTATATTATCGCCGGGTGTAAACCCGTTGAAGGACGTTGAGGCGCTTGGCAAGCTAATGGGTTTCACCATGGATCTGGGTAATTTTCACAACGTTTCGCTGGGTCAGGGTCAAGAGGTTATTGCCGAGGCTGCTATGGATACGGCAGCCAAAAATGGTCACTGGGTTGTATTACAAAATATACATTTGGTGCGTAAATGGTTGCCAGTATTGGAAAAGAAATTGGAATTCTATGCAGAAGGATCGCATCCAGATTATCGCATGTTCTTAAGTGCCGAACCGGCTTCGTCACCCTCAGCGCACATTATACCACAGGTGATGATAAGGAACTCGCAATATGGTTGAGTTAATAATAACTTTATTTTTTGTATGTTTGCAGGGCATACTAGAGTCCTCCATTAAAATCACCAATGAACCGCCGACAGGAATGTTGGCCAATCTGCACAAAGCACTTGACAACTTCACACAGGAAACACTGGAAATGTCTGGCAAAGAGGCCGAATTTAAGGCCATACTCTTTTCACTCTGCTACTTCCATGCCGTCGTAGCTGAGCGGCGCAAATTCGGACCACAAGGCTGGAACAAGATCTATCCATTCAATGTTGGCGACTTAAACATCAGCGTTTCGGTGTTGTATAACTATCTCGAGGCTAATGCTAAAGTGCCTTGGGAAGATCTGCGTTATCTATTCGGTGAGATCATGTACGGCGGCCACATAACCGACGACTGGGATCGTCGTTTGTGTATCACCTATCTGGAGGAGTACATGCAACCAGATCTAGTAGATGGTGAGCTCTTTTTGGCGCCCGCTTTTGCAGCACCACCAAATACCGATTACGCCGGCTATCACACCTATGTCGATGAAATGATGCCAGCCGAATCACCCTACCTGTATGGCCTACATCCGAATGCGGAAATCGGCTTCCTAACCACGCGCGCTGAGAACATTTTCCGCACGGTATTTGAAATGCAACCACGTGATGCAGGCGCAAGTGGTGGTGCCACTGTCACCCGAGAGGACAAGGTGAAGCAAATTGTCGATGAAATAATGGAGAAGTTACCCGAAGAATTCAATATGGTAGAGATTATGAACAAGGTGGAGGAACGCACACCCTATGTGATTGTGGCATTTCAGGAGTGCGAGCGCATGAATTATCTGACAAGCGAGATGAAGCGCAGCTTGAAGGAATTGGATTTGGGTTTGAAGGGTGAGCTCACCATCACCTCCGACATGGAAGTATTAGAGAATTCGCTCTTCTTGGATCAAGTGCCACCAGTGTGGACGCAGCGCGCATATCCATCACTACTGGGCTTGAATTCATGGTTCATTGATCTGTGTTTGCGGTTACGTGAATTGGAAACATGGTCCACTGATTTTGTGGTGAGTGGAATTGAGGTATGCAAGCGATTGAATTGCAAAATAGTAAGCGCATTTCTTCTGTAGCTTCCTTCCTGTGTTTGGCTGGCCGGGTTTTTCAATCCACAATCGTTGCTCACCGCAATTATGCAGAGCACTGCACGCCGCAACGAATTGCCGTTGGATAAAATGTGCCTGCAATGTGATGTGACCAAAAAGCAAAAGGAGGATTTCACGTAAGTGCAACAAGCGTACGATTTTGTTAAATTCACCTTGGGATACACTCAGCACTTTTTGAACACTGGTATACGCAAATACTGTTTCGAAAACTGTATATTAATTAGGCAGGGTCGATAGACATAAATACGAAAAAGTGTATTAATATTTCCCATATTTTAGCAACATAAAAATCCGTTTTGTTTTTCTAATAAGGATTGTCCGTCGACAAGCAATGGCAAACACCCATTTTTGCCATGAAAAAGCTTCTCATAAAATCCATTTGCCCTTCGGAGGCGGCGTAAAACTGTAGGTTCCTCTCTCTGTGTGACAACATCAAGGCGCACACCACAAATCGGAGGCGAAGCTTGGCAAAGTACTAGAAAACCCGTAAGCGCCAAATATTTTTATTTGTTTTTTTTTTTTTTAGTCTTTCAATGTACAAATCTGTAGCATGGTTGCCACAATTGGTAACTTTCTACCAAAAGTGGTAACTTTTAAACGGTTTGGTAACTTGGTAACTTTTATTTTATTTTGGTAACTTTTGCTACTAAATATCTATTTGCATTACTAGAAAGAAATGAATTATGTTTTGCATGTGCGTAATTATGCCCTTCGAGTTTCAGTGGCAGCACTACTGACACTTCTACAAAATTAGTTCGATAAAATTAGAGTTATCTCATATTCGAATACTGGAAATACTTGAACTACAGTGGCAGCACCAAGGGCTGCACTTCTAAAACAACTTCCGAATCTGTGCGATAAATTTCAGGGACGTGAACCGGTTTTGAACCGGAAAACCGCTTTTTTCTATTAATTAACTGAACCATTAACCGAACCGAAATTTTCCACAAATGTTTGATCCGAACCGAAAATCGAACCACTTTCTATAAAGGTTTAAATGTTCCCTTCAACCAATTGTCAATAGATAAATGTACCCACTTTTTTTTCTTTTTGTTAAACATGGTAATACCTTCCGTGTTTGTTTACCATGTGACAATATCAAATGTAAAGGCAACCCATCTCATTTGACAGACACTTGACCCTTAACCTTGCGCGTTATTTTTTGTTTTTCGAACCGTTGAACCGAACCGAAACCCCGGTTCAAAGACCAAAAAAACCGCTTTGACCAACCAATCCAAAAGTGCAAAAACGGTTCGAACCGCTGAACCGAACCGACCAAATTTTCCATCCGGTTCACTTCCCTGATAAATTTTAAATTCTACCATCTCACATACCACCTCGGTAAGGTCCATAAAACGTTTTGATTATTCCGGCACAAACAAAACATGTCGCGTGATTTTACTAGACCCACCTACGGACATGTATTTCGACCCACTGAATCCAAATCTGAGGTCCGTTTGACACGTGCACTAAATTATGAAAAAGCGAAAAATTAGCAAAAAATTTGCAATTTTCGCAATTTACTCGAAATTTCGTACGAGTCAAACGGACGGTTAAAAGCGGCCGCAACTTTTTTTTTTTAGTCGCAAATATCGGCACATTCCGAACTAAAAATAACACTGAAATTGGCACAACGTCGAAACCGGTTTGTCCCCAAAGCAAATTTGACAAGGGATGATGGAAAATCGTTTCACATTGCATCATACTCCTACCCTGTCGGAAACACCAACAACGAAAATGTGAATAACGGCACATGCAACAATTAATTGTAAGAAACAAATTTTCTAATAAGAAAAATTATTATAATTGTCAATAGCATTTTCAATCTTGATAATTTATCAAGAAAATAGATTTAAACTTCTGTGCTAGAACTGGGAGTTCTTGATAAATAATCAAAAATTGACAAATTATAAAAATATTGAATTTATTAAGTCACGGAAACGGGCTGTAAGTATATACACATTTGTGAAGATTTTGATAGTAAGATTTGGTAACTTTTCTTAAGAGATTTTGGTAGAAAAAAATGATGGCGAGTGGCAACCATGATTTGTAGGGCTTAAGGGTGGTGCCAAAATTAGAGTTTTGACGTACATTTGTATTTCGTTTAAAGCTGACCATTTTAGCCTTTTCCGCAATTTTAAACCAGCCCGAGATGGAAGACCAAACTGTGCATTTTCAGCACATTTTACTGCTTTAATCCCGTAAAAGGAAGGACGCGCGACAGGCTTAGCAAAAGGGCATTGATAAAGCCAAACCTACGGTAACTGATACCAGAGATTACAGAAACACTATGCTATGCACACTAGGGTGGTCCAAAATAAGTAAAATCTGACTTCTAATGCTCTCACCCCCTAGGATTGTTCTATATCGAAAAAAGTATGCCCCTATTTTTATACCCGAGCGCACTTGTGCACAAGGGTATATTAATTTTGTTCACATAACGGTTGTTTGTAACAGCCAAAACGAATCGAGATAGATATAGACAAATGTATACATAAATGATCAGGATAAAAAAAAGAAATCGATTAAGCCATGTCTGTCTGTCCGTCCGTCTGTCCGTCTGTCCGTCTGTCCGTCTGTCCGTCTGTCCGTCTGTCCGTGTACACGATAACTCGAGCAAAAATTGAGATATCTTAACGAAATTTGGTATGTAGGTTTCCCTTAATCCAAGGTAGGTTGGTATTGAAAATGGGCGAAATCGGACTTTAACCACGCCCACTTCCCATATAACGGTAATTTCCAGAAATACGAAAACTGCGATATTTTAGTAACTACTAAAGATAATTCACTCAAATTTGATATTTATAATAAGTTTTAGACGAAAAATAAGAATATTATAAATTTTTGGAAAATGGGCGTAGCCACGCCCACTTATGGTTACATGTGTATATCTTGGTAACCGCTGCACCAATTTCTTCCAAACTTGGCACAGTTGTTGGCCCTGGTACAGCATAAAAAATCGCCGAAACTTTTTAAAATCGGACAATAACCACGCCCACTTCCCATATAACGGTAATTTAGGGAAATACAAAATCTTCAAAAAATCAGTAAATATTGAAGCTAATTTATTCAAAATTGATACTTGCAACAATTCTTTACCAAGAAATACGTTTATGGTAAAATTTTGGAAAATGGGCATGGCACCGCCCACTTATGATCACATATATGTATATCGGTAACCGTTCTACCAATTTGTACCAAACTCGGTGTGGTTATTGTGCTTGCCACATATAAGCAAAACGTTGAAAATTATAGAAATCGGACTAAAATAACGGCCGCTTCTCATATAACGGTAAATTTCAGAAATACTTGAAACTTCAATATTTCGAAATTGAAGGACGCTAATTTACTCAAAATTGATACACCCCGGCTTATCATCTAGCGGAAGGTTTCGGAAAGGTGAAAAAACATATTTAATACTTGCGCCGGGTATTTAAAGTTCGGCTCCGCCCGAACTTAGACTTTCTTACTTGTTTATTTTGGAATTAAAAAATATTTAGAAGTCGCTCAAAGTTTTTGATGTATTTTGTATAGGAAAAAAAGAACTTTTCGTGGAAATGGTATGGAATTCTTGAAAATCAATATTCTTCGATCGGCAAACTCTGGTTCTCTTCAGGAGACTTCCAATAACAATATCCAATTATTTATTTAACCATTTTTTAATAATGAAGATTTTTTATTTATCCCCCATTGCATTTTCTGGCATTTTCTGGGCTTTTGGCGGTCCTACAAAATACGGTGGATAAGAAAAAATAAATATTTTTTGATTTCCATATAGAACAATCCTAGGGGTGAGAGCATAAAAATTCCGACTTTACTTTTTTTACATGCATTATTGGACCACCCTAATGCACACCCTGTAAAATATTGTTGCTGATCATTTCCTTATTCAACCTAATACTACTATCAAATGGAGCTGATTCGCCGCTACAGAAACTTTAAAGATGTGGTGGGATGTCGGAAAAACGTCGATGCATCGAAAATATGATGTCTTGGTTCGATGCCTCGAAAATTTTCCACTCAATGTATAAATAGACGCTGCATCGATAATTTTTGAGAACTGACATCTTCAGCACATGGAACAATCATTCCAGTTTTTCAAGTGTACAAAAAAGAGAAGTGACTTAGACCAAAAAATTTAAATGCCTCCCAAAAAGTTCCGTTAGAATCATAATTAGCTCAGTTCAGTATCGATGTACATTTCGATAAATCGAATCAAAGAAAAATATCGATGTATTTTTGCCACTGACATCCCTAGCTATAACTTCTACCGCTTAAACTTCGAAGCTTTTTTCAATTTTTCCTAACAAAAAAAAAAATCGTGGTACAAAGCTCAATAACACTATTGAAATAAAATTATAGTTTATAAAACTAAAACTTCGCTATTAAAATTTCTATTTGTACTGTCATCAGGTTACTTTAAGAATGGAAGTTTAAAGCAATTCTCATTCGTACTGTCATCAGGTATGTATGTAACTTGAGAATGGATATCGCTGCATCATTTAGGTGCATCAATATTACATAGTTACATCCCGAGCTAATAAAAGCGAGGTAAAAAGTTTTCACTTCCACCTAAAGGCGCTCAAAGAAGTACATTTGGGTACATATACAGTATATTTTGCTTAGCTGCACATCCTTCTTTGCACGAAAAACTTGTGCACGTAACCGAAAAAGGCACTTAAGCGAATTTTCTTTACTACTTCAATGAGGAAGGTATCCGAATCCCTATGAAACCAAATGTTGGCGGAGCACTTACCATGTAGAAATTACTGCAAGCGAAATTTTTACCGAATGTTATCTAATTATCTAATATAACTACATAAATTGATAGCCATTTTCGTCGTTCTGCGAGATGAGCAAAATAAGTAAAAGGTTGTAAAATTAGGTAATTGTAGGGCCAGTGCAGGTAAACGTAATACTTTCATTGATAATTGATACTAGTCGCACAATTTTTAGGGCAGGTATCGCCAATGTGCAGGTATGTTGAATGCATCTAACCAACCAAATAATCTTCTTTTTGGTTGTGTGTGTTTCCGACAGAACGAAAAATTATACTGGAGAAGGCACAACGCCGAAACCGGCTTGTCTCCAAACCAAATTTGACAAGGGATGACGG